TTGGGGGGGGGGGGGGGAACAAGCAAAAAATGTCCCGTTTTTTCCTCGTATTTGCCCTCCCCAGCCTCCAGGAGCACTCTACAAGCCTCCTAAAGGCTATGCATGCTCCTTTTGGGGCAAAAAATGAACCTGTTTTTGTGGAAAATGGGCCATTTTTAGGAGGTCTGCAGAGTGCAAAAACTTTTTGTTTTTAATTTGCCTCTTCAAAATCTTGGTGTGACTTATACTCCAAAAAATACGTTATATATCAATAGCCATAGCACTTAAGACCTATATGCCGCTTTTCACAGTGCTTTACAACCCCACTCTAAGGGGTTTACAGAGACAGCGGTATGTCCCCCAATAATCTGGGTCCTCATCGACCTCGGAAGGGTGGAAGGCTGCATCAACCTTGAGCCACTCAGAATTGAACTGCTGGCAGTAGACGAGTTAGCCTGCGATGCTGCATTTTAATCACTGCATACCGTGGATGTTGGATGGATGGATGGAAGGAAGTAATTAAGGGGAAAAGGAAGAACAATAACAATAGCAATAGCCCTTAGACCAGGGGTGTCAAACTTGCAGCCTGTGGGTCGGGTGCATGACATGCTGGCTCCGCCCCCACCAGTTTAACAAAAGGGGGGGGAAATCCCAATGCACCACGTAATGCTGCCATGATGATGCAAGTTTGACACCCCTGCCTTAGACTTATGTATATACCGCTTCACAGTGCTTTACATCCCTCCCTAAGAGGTTTACAGAGTCAGCCTATTGCCCCCAACAATCCGGCTCCTCATTTTACTCACCTCGGAAGGAGGGAAGGCTGAGTCAACCGTATCCTGGTGAGATTCGAACTACCAAATTGCAGGCAGCCAGCAACCTCCCTCCCTCCCTCCCTCCTTTCTTCTTTCCATGGTGCATAATGGTTAGAATGCAGTGCTGCAGGCAAACTCTGCCCATTGCCAGGAGTTCAGTCTTGACTGGCTCAAGGTTGACTCAGCCTTCCCTCCTTCCAAGGTGGGTCAAATGTGGACCCAGATTGTTGGGGGCAAGAGACTGACTCTGCAAACCGCTTAGAGAGGGCTGTAAAGCACTGTGAAGCAGTTTATAAGTCTATTGCTATTCCCCCTTCCTTCCTTCCTTCCTTCCTTCCTTCCTTCCTTCCTTCCTTCCTTCCTTCCTTCCTTCCTTCCTTCCTTCGCACATTGGTTACAATGAAGCATTGCAGGCTAATTCTGCCCACTGCCAACAGTTCGATCCTCACCGGCTCAAAGTTGACTCAGACTCCCATCCTTCCAAGGTCACTAAAATGAGGACCAGATTGTTGGGGGCAAGAGGCTGACTCTGTAAACTGCGTAGAGTGGGCTGGAAAGCACTGTGAAGCGGCATATAAGTCTTAAGTGCTATGGCTATTTTCTATTGTCTGCTCTTCCCGTTAAACAAAGCACAATGCCCATCCCAAAACCTGACTTTGCCATCCTGGGTAGTTCTCCTGATCGTTCCACCACTGTCTTCTGCCTGTTGTGTCCCAGTTGGTATTTAGCTTTACATTGTGTCTCCTTTGTCCGGTTTCTTTTCTTGGAACCCATCGCTTGTCTGCCTGGGCCCACATTACTCCCCTGTGCCATTCTGCTTTGCTGTTCTCTGCCTTAATTGCTCGCTAAACCAGGCTCCTGGTCTCTCTCCAAGGGCACCCCAGCTGAAGTGCTGTACAAAGGAACCATTACCAAGGTAATTGGAGAAGACAGCCCCAGCCGAGCGGAGAAGGCAAGAGACGAGGCACTGCCCAAGGGACATGTCATTTACGAGGGGAAGAAAGGACACATCCTGACGTACGATGGTGAGTTGAAGCTTCCTTGGATGGGAATCCCACTGCCTGGTCGCCCTGTGGGTGGGGAACCCCCCCCGGGGGGGGGGGGCCCCCCCCCCGGGGGGGGGGGTGTTTGGGTGCTCCATGCTTTGGAGGAAAGGCCAATGCAAGGTTTTAGGAGTGATGGGGAAACT